GGGGGGGGGGGCGGGGATGAATTAGGGCGGGAGCAGGTCTCCAGAGCCTGTGAATGGGAACGGGCGAGAGTGAGGTTAATGCCGACCCCCCGCCTGCCCACCACCAGCTGCCCCTCCTCCAGCGGCGCCTCTGCAGTCCAGGGCCCAGGCTCGACCCGCGCCCTGCCCTCTGCCGGCTCACAGGGGCTGCGGCCCCCTCCCCACACCGCCCCCGACCCCCGCGGGCAGCAGCAGTCCTGCCAGGGCGGGCAGAGGGCGGCGGGGTCTCCCGGGGCCAAGCGCACTCTCCCCGGGTCTGGTACCTCCTTCTGGGTCGGGATGCTTTCTGGTCGAGGTCCCAGCAGGAGGCGCGCGGGGCTTCGCGGAGCGGCCGCGGGGTCGGGCGCCCCTCTTTCCCCCTGCACGCTCTCGCTCCCTCTCCTCTTCCCCTTTCTCTCCCTGTCCCTCTCTCAGCGCGGCACGTGGGCCAGCGCGCCGGCGCCTGCTCGCCACCGGTCTCTGCAGTGCGGACTCGGGGCGGGGGCGTAGTGGCGGCAGAGCGCAGACCCTGCGCGTCGCCCCGGAGACCGCCAGTCCATTGGTGCGGGCGGGTCACGCGGCCAGGCTGTCGCCGCCGCCGCGGGCGCCCGGGGACCGCGGGTGACGTCACCCGCTCCTTCCCCCGCCCCCGAGGGGGCACTGGCACAGGTGGGGACCCCTGGGGTCCGTGAATCAGTGCCCCCATCTGGGACCCTGCCTTGTCCTCCGCCTCTCCTGGAACGTGCCCTTGGGGCACCAGCGTGGCGAGGGGTCTACACCGTGGGGTGCCCACTGGACAGCAGCTGGACAGGCCGGAGTTGCGCCCGCCGGCGCTGCGTTCTGACCAGCCATGGGGACCAGGGGTGTGTGGAGGGGCCCTCTGGAGCTTCTTCACCTGCTCTCCCCATCACTCTCTCCACTCAGGGCTGGTCCTATCCCAAGGCTAGGCGAGAAGCACCTCATCCAGGTGCGATTTCGTGGAGTAGATGCCACAAACGCACATGCGCGCTCACACACACACCACCCAAATGGCGGTGTGCAATCCCCATGCTGCCCGCTGGGCTGGCGACGGAGGCCGGGAGCCGGGAGCCGCAGGCCTTGCCCGCCTGGGTGCAGGACAGGCCAAGACACTTCGCTGCCTCAGTACTAGTGGCCACCCCCAAGGAGGGTGCCAGGGCCTTTCCCGTTTTGCTGGCTGCAAGCCCCAATCCCAAGAATGGGCTTCTGCTACTTAGAGCTCAACCCTTTGGACCTGTATCTTACTGTATGTCCTTGGGCAAGTCCTTGCCCCTTCTCCTGGCCTCAGTGGAAGGACAGAATTGAGGTCTCTACCTGAGGTTGTGTATGGGAGAGCTGGTCTGCTGGGAGTGGGGTGCTCAATGTGTCCCCTGCCCCCTGTGCCCCTGCCATCCTTATGGGCTCTGGGACATTGCTCTCTTGGCCCCTGAAGGCAGCATGGGTGTTGTGCCTCCCCAGAGACCTCCACCTGTCTGGCCCCGAGTCAGCCTTCTTCCATAGGTCCTTTCCCCCTCCTCTGCCACCTAGGCTAGACACTGCACCAGGGCACTGCTGCCTCCCATTGAAACAGAGCTCCAGTCCCTGTGGGTCTCACCACCCTGCTCTTGTCCCATTACAGGAGTCTGGGGCCATGTGGACAGCCTCTCCACCAGTCAAATGGCAAGCAGTTTCCCTCAGGGTCGCACCTCCGGCTGTTGTTGCCTGCCCGGCCCTTCTCTTTCCTTGCCTGGCATCCGACCAGAGATCCTCTTCTGCGGCCTGCTTTTCCCACTTGAGCTTTACTGGTCAAGGTTTCCCTCGCTCATGCTCCTTGTTGAATCACAGCCCCAGTTTATTTGTCTGTGACCCTATGGATGGGCATTCGGGCTCTTCCCAGGCTCTGCCCATTACAGACACTGCTGACACCAGCACCCTGCGCGTGCCTGTCTGAGCCGCCGTTGGCATGACAGGCTCTGGCACGTATACCAAGAAGTGGTTTTGCTGGGACTTGAGCTGTGCCCATCGCTGCCATGACCAGGTGTTGCTAATCTGTTATCTCCCTTGAGAGGCTGAACCCTTGTTCACTCCCACCAGCAGCATGGAAGCAGTCCTGTGTGTCCCACAGCCTGAGCAGCCTTTGGTCTTGTCCAGCCTTGACCATCTGCCCACCCCATGGGGAGATGCCCTACCTTGTCACTGTGTGCCTTGCATTTCCCTGGTCTGCAGTGAGGTTGGGCATCCTCTCGTAAGTTTGTCGGCCGTTCCTGATTCCTCTTCTGTGAGTCTCCTTTGCTCATTTCCTCCCCACCGCTGAGAAGCGTTGTTGGCCTGTTTCTAGGAGAAAGTTCCCAGCCTCGAGGTCAAAGCCACTCTCACTTTTTTTTGCACTCATCCATCGCCCAGAAGCAGGCCACATTGGAGTTGGTCTCACAGGTGGACCTTGGCTTGCCCGTATAGTCTTACTCTCCCAGCTTTCCTTCCTCCCAGGTGGTAAACACTGGATAAATGAAGAAACACGGATGGTCTGTCACAAACCAGCTTGCCCAGTTGACCTCATGCGTGGACTCCCTCCCCTTCTCCCCGTTGAGGGCCAAGACTACCTGTTCTAATACAGGCGAACTGCTGCTCCTAACACCCACCGGGAGAATTTCTGTCCACCGAACCTCTGCATTAGTCCTGCTATAGCTTGCACCCAATGTTGTCCTCTTTCTTGGTTTCCGCCATGATTTGTCAGAGAGGGCGCTCTCTGGGGAATATGTGTGAGTCCCGTGTTGCCAACTGGCCAGCTGGCCTGCAGGCCAACTGTCAACTCATTTCCCTTGTTTTCAGCCTCACCTCTTCCTACTCCTCTCCTTCCTGCTGACTTCAAGCCCAGGACTCTCCGGCTCTGCCTTGGGGCACCCATTCCACCCTCTGCCAGGGCTGGGCTGTGATGCCTCGACTGCCTTTCCTTTGTCACCTCTCGGCCCTCATTTTGCTCCACCTCTCAGCACAGTTGACCCTCCTTCCTTCTCAAAACCCTTTCCTTTTTTGGCTTCTGTAACTCCTCCACCTTCGGGCTGACCTCCTCCCTCTCTGCCTGCCTATCCTTGGAACTCCCTCCTCCTCCTCCTTTGCTCAAGCTCAGCATGGTGGAGGTGGGCTCTCTTGGTGCACTCTCTGATGCCACACTCATCCGAGGTCCTCTCATCCGAGGGATGAGTTATCTGCCTGCTGATGTCTCCAAGGGTCCAATCTCTTGGTGAGACCTCTTCCCCGAGCTCCACACGTGCTCATCAAACTACTCACTGGGATGCCCCATGGGAATTTCAGAAGGAAGGTGTCCAAACCAGAGCAATTCATCCTCCTCAGCATGCTTGCTTCTTCCCCAGGCTTCCCCCAAAGGCTCCCTCCGCCTTCCACCTGGTTGCTCAAGCAAAGATGCCAAGATTCTTTCCCCCCTCTCCTTTGATCCTCTCCCCATAGTCTAACCCATCTTTGGGTTTTATCGACTCTAGTTGGTGACTGCTGCCCCTCTCCACGTCTCCATGGTCCCTGGCCCCATCTCCTGCTCTCCCTGCCTCCACTCTGGCCCTTCTCTCTAACCCATTCCCACTCCCACGGCAGCTAGGGCAAATTCTTTGCAACACCACCAGACCCCACTTCTCCCCGGTGACAGGTCCTCTCTGTGGCTCCCCATCTCCTTAGAGTATATTCCAAAGTTCCCTCCCTGGCCAATAGGGTCCCCCTGGGAGCTGACTTCCTCTTCTGCTCTTCTTCCTGTGCCACCTGCCCCGCCCCTGGCCCCTCTCACCAGACTCCTGCTGCATTGGCCTTCTCTGCTGGCCCCAGAGCACACCCAGCCCGTTCCCACCTATGGCCTTTGACTTCCCACCTCCTCTGTGTGGGACAACCCACCCGAAGAACTTCCCGTGGTGGCCTCCTCCTCCTCCTCCTCATTCAAATCTCAGCTGAAACGTCCCCTCCTCCTGGGGGCCTCCTCTGCCTGGCCACCCACATCAAAAGTAGACCCCAGAAAACACTCTGTTTATGTTCACATTAGCGGCATTAATTTATATGTCATCACATGATAGATGCTGGTTTGAGTCCTTGCTTTTGGGCATCAGTGCCTCTCTCCCCAGATGATAAGCCCCCGAGGTGGAGGGGCCTTGCCCATGTTTCTCACCCCGGGATCTCCAGTACCTAGAACAGACCATGGCCCAGTGGAGGCCCTTGGTGCCTTCTTTCGAGCAAGCACCTGCATCTGTCAGCCTGCTCCCATCTGCCAGGGGTCTGGGACCTTTATCCTGAGGGCTGTGGGTAGGCCTGATGGGTTTGAAGCTAAGGGATAGCAAGGATCAGACCTGCTGTGTGGTGAACTGAGCGGCAGGGAGGCAAGCCTGGAGCAGAGAGGGCCTTCTGCGGTAGTCCAGGCCAGACGGTGGTGGTCTGGGCCTCCTCTGGCAGAAGAGTTTAAGAGAAAGGGGAAGATACAGGCTCCAGAGAGGGAGAAGGCACAGGGAGTGCTCAAGCAGGGTCCCAGGCTTCTCATTTGTGTGTGGACTCAGAGGATGGGAGGGCTCCTCTCTGACACGGGAATTGCACCAGCAGTTGTCTTTCCTCTCGCCTTTTGTGAGAGGAGGTGTTGAGAAGTGGGGTGACAGGGGTGGGCATGAGTTTCTGTGGCCACGTTTGCATTTAAGAGTCCTGTGTGACACTCAGCTAGATACACACTCTGCCCTCTTCCTCCCTCCAACCCCCAGCACCCCAGCACCACCCCCACCCCCACCCAGGCCCTGTGGGCAGCTAGGCTCCCTGGTAGAGGTAAAGGAATTGTAATTGTGCCACCTGCTTGGTTCAGCCCCCATGGTCTTCTGTCTTTTGGCTTAGGCCCCCTGATTGCCAGCACTGTGCCCCACACAGAGGCGGCGCTTGGCAGATGTTGACCACACGGAGGAATAAACACAGAAGCACTTCACTGTGAGGTGGTGCGGAGATGCTTCAGTCAAGTTTCACAGAGGCCCTGGCCCGCCAGGTGATGGGACGCTTCCATAGCACACCTCCTCTAGTACTAGCTGTTAGGAATAAAGTCCGGAGGACAGCCAGCCTAGCTGAGCACATAGAACAAGGGCATGGCAGCAGAGGGGGAGCCTCAGTGTTTCTCTCCACTTGGCTGCCTCCTAGCTGAGTGACCTCGGCTAAGTGTCCCTTAACCTCCATGGGTTGAGTGGGAGCATTGTCTGCTCACAACCCAGGAAGGGCTTCTCTGCTTTGCACCAGAATCACCGAGGGCCCAAGCTCTGCACAGACAGACAGGCCCCTCCTGTCTCCTCCAGGGAGAGCCTAGCGCTCCCGCCTACCTTCCTACCAGGCAGTGCCTGCTCATACTTCCTAAATTGTGGCTGCAGACCAGCTCCCCACCAGCCACAGCCTGCTCTGGCTGCTCAACAGCCCTCTTCCTCCACTGCCCCCTCTGCTCCTGCTGTCAGCCTCCGAGAGCTCCCAGCCCTGCCCCAAACCCTCCACAGGTCCTTGGGCGGCCAGGTGGGCTCCCTCCTCTCCTTTGTGAACCTGCCATTCCCTCACTGGCCGCTCCTACCAGGGGAACAGTACCTCCTTAGTTTCTTCCTGGCTGCCAGCCCCCTCTGCATGCACCTGCCCACTGCAACCTCACAGGTGCAGGTGGCTCCTTT